TGCACCGTGTGACATAGGCTAAGTTTTAAAACCAAAGAAGAAGGCTTACATAAAAGGTTCAGTGTCTAACTTTATGAACTTTCATTTCAAACCTAGGCTAGGCTGCTAACATGACAAACGCTAATAGCCAATAGGTGATATATATTAAAATACTAGCTTTTACCCGACCCGTTGGCCGGTAACTTTTTTATTTATTTTATATCCTGTTAAATTGTATTTTCGTTGCCTCGCTCTCAATTCTCAATTACTTAAAATTGTACGATGGCAAGTCGAGTAGTTTGCCTTGGGGAGTATATGGCCATATGGGCATTGGGCCGTGTTTGGGCCGGCACGCTTAGGCCCCGTTTATTTCGTGTCGTGCTTGGCACGGTCCGTCAGTTTTCGTGTCGTGCCGTGTCAGCCCATTTGTTATTTTTGCTAGGCCCGGGCACGGTTTTCATCGTGCCGTGCTACTTCGTGCTCGTGTCATGCTTATATTCGTGTTTAATGAAAATAAAGAAAATAAAAGAGAAAATAAAAAAGAAGTAATAAATTGGACGGAGAATGAAAGTATTAAATTATTTATGAATTAACTACGCAGGTCTAAGATGAACAATTTAATTTTGCCACTCTTTGTTAGCTAATGAAAGTTAGGGTCCAATACTAAAACTATGATATTTAATTCACCAACAACTTCCACATATCACAACAGTAAACCCGCAAAGAAAACAAAACCATGTTCTCTCCCGATAAATCAATGGTCTTGCCTACCTGTTAGAGATGGGCAATGGGTTGATCAACCGCTAAACCCACCCGAACCCACCGATTATGACCCGCCCATTACATGTTTGGGTTGATGTGGTGGATGGGTGTGAGTCAACTTTTTTGTCACTCACTAAACTTGGGTGGGTGGCGGGTGGGTCATTACCCGCAAAATCACATGATATGTTAAGTCATTAATGCACATTCTATAATAATATACTATATTTTCTTATCTCAAAACTTTAATCATGACTGATTCAATTAAATTACAATTAACTCTATAATTTTTACTTGATGTATACTATGAATTTGATTATTTTAAAATATGAAAGCTATCAATAAAATAATTTTTGTTCGCAAATGAGATAATAGGTGTTATATATGCAATAAACTATGTTTAATATTTCTAAATTTTCTTAATATGTAGTATTGACATTAAATTATTTTTATGCAAATTTTTATGACTCATCATTATCTAATATTTAAAAATCATTTGACCCACCAAAATCGTCAAATTCACCCATCATTCGCTGTCACCCACCCACAACGAAAACAATGGGCGGGTGGATTTTAAGTAAAAAATTTAGTTTTTACCCCACCCATTAATCGATTGATTTGAGTTCATTTCTTATTATGTTAACTAACTATCTATATCTTAAATAATTTGGGACTTCTCGGAAACTTAAACATAATTTAAAAGTAAGGACTTTGCTACGGTGACATGCACTTTTCGGTCGACCTCATATAGGATCAGGTCGACCTAATCAGTTGTTTCAGTGTACAAACAGTTTCATGGTGCCTACTTTGGAGATTCATATCTTACAATTGGCTAGATGGAAATTGGAGATTAAAGGCTTGTTTTGAAGCTGAAGTGTCCCTCTACACATTAAAGTACTTGGGAGCTCAATAGAAAGTCCAGAAGACCATTTTTGAACCTGACCAAAAGGCTATGCCAAAACTGGGAAACTGCCTGAAAATGGCTAAGTCTGGCAACGTGTTTGTCAAGCCTACTTTGGAGCTCAATTTGACAAGCATGGATGCGAGTCAAGTTCAGGGGCCTTTACCAAGTTAAATTACGTATTTTTTTATACAAAGGCAAGGCATTGAATGAAAGATTGAATATATTTAAGGCTTCAAACAAAAGGCTCGAAGTTGCTACGAAGGCTGTTTTTCTGGCAGCTTGCTTGTGCTCGAAGTCTGCCAGAAAAACAGCCTTCGTAGCAACTTCGACCCTTTTGTTTGAAGCCTTAAAGATATCCAATCTTTCATCCAATTCATTGAATTTGTATAAAAACATACCTAATTTAACGTGGTAGAGGCTCCTGGACTCGACTCGCATTCATGCTTCTCGAATTGAGCTCAAAAATAGGCTTCACAAACACGTTTCCAGACTTAGCCATTTCTAGGCAGTTTCCCAGTTTTAGCATAGCCTTTTGATGAGGTTCAAAAATGGTCTTCTGGACTTCCTATCGAGCTCTCAATCACTTCAATATTTAGAGGGACACTCCAGCTTCAAAACAAGTCATTAGTCTTCAATTTCCATCTAGCCAATTGTACGATATGAATATCCAAAGTAGGCACCATGAACTGTTTTTACACTGAAACAACATATTAGGTCGACCGGATCCTATATGAGGTCGACCGAATCCTAAATGAGGTCGACCGGATCCTATATGAGGTCGACCGAATTCTATGTGAGGTCGACCTAATCATAACTGAGGTCGACCGGAAAGTGCAAGTCACCGTGACATGCATGTCACCGTAGGTACACCCTAAAAGTAATATTTGTCTGAACTGATTCCTCTGCCGATCAACAGCTTTCCTTGCTCCTCAGCTCGCTATAGCCACCAGCGGGAGAGGAAGAAGATGAACATGTTCCTTCTGTTCATCATGCTGCAAGGTGGTGTGAAAAATAAAAGAACTCCAAATATTTGAGTTGTTTGGGTCCCTTCGCCAAAAAATTGACAATTGCTGCATATTCCGCCCTCTCTTCAACCCCTCCATATATTATATCTACTCTTCTTCCTGATTACCCAATATATAGCTTGACTTTTTCACAAAACCTAACCCCGACTACTTAAATTGAAACCAAATAAAGATAACAACAAAAATTGAAGGGAGCATATTTTGGCATGTAGTTACCGTTGCGGGATAAAAAGGAAGGCAGGAGCAAAGATAGCATACTTCTTGGTGCGCCGGATGAGTGTTAGGACCTACTAAAATCCAAAGAGAGTTTAACATCCCACTAACACATACCAGAAGCATTCCGGCTTTCCAAATTGCTCGTCCAAAAAACACTCTCCATCCAGAAAATATTAAATGGCGGTGACAATTTTCTAATTCTACTATAAATTATTATGTAGATTATTAACTAATTCCCACAACCATTAAGAAAATCCTAGTGCACAGCTTTTTGAATGGCACAATAAACATTTAAAGTATAAAAATATTACACCGGGTGAAAGGAAGTTGGCCAAAGATAAAATTCATAACATAAGCGTTCTACGTACACCAATCTCAAACATCTGTTACTTCTCATTAGTTCTTGTTTGTGACCCATATAAAATATTTGTATAAATACATTTTTTTGCAATACGTGTGTATTAATCAGTGTAGTACTATCCTATTTTAACAAAATTCGCAATAACAATATGATTATAACTAATTTCTTGTGACAAATATCCTTCCAATTTTATCTCTGGATGCAGGAATTTTAAAATGGGACTTCCTCTTTTCCATTCCACATTAAAAGTAAGCTAGGTAAGTGCACCAGCTTGTTGGGTGGATTACTAAGAATTTGAACACAATGCACCTATAGTTTGAATGCTATGTTTCTATAATCAATTGAAATGATCGTATAAACTCATTCGTTGCAAGTAGGATAAAGAATACAGGTCAATGTTTGGCATGATCTTGGGTTTCATGTTTATGGAGACACTCATTCGTATTTTGCTATCTGTTTCAATTGTCCACCATTGGTTAAGCACCTTATAAATTTGCATACTCAAATTGATATAATTAGTTATATTCTTTACAATGGAAGATAAAAATATGCCAGATGTTGAAAGATGATTCTACTGATATTCTTCGACTAAACTGCAGCTTAAGCTCTTTTGTTCAGCTTCAATTCATTTCTGTATAACCATTTACTTCTTCTATGTTTCCCTGTCCTTTTCACTTCTTCGTTCTTTAGCCCTTTTCACCTACCCCGATTTCATTCTCAATGAAAGTCCCAATAACAAAACATAACCTTTGTACTTTATGACATTAAAAATTAAATTACCTTAATACATTCATCTTAAAGAATGATGCGTTGGATACCTTCTCTAATAACAGTAAAAGATTAGGTTTAGAAAAACTAATCAGCTCCAGTTGTACACAATGATACATCTTCGTCCTTGTTGGAGGAAGACAAATGGGAATTTTGAAACAAAACCCAACCTATGAAAGTAAAGATTCCAGTCGATCTATTCTGAAGAAACCATGCTGAAAACAGGCAATCCAATAACCAGAAGTTCACATACCACAGTTAACATATCCCAAGGAAGCATGGGAAAAGATCCATTCTTGCTTTTTATGTTTCAAAGTGGTGCATAAGTATCAAATTATACACTCTGCCTTAGCAACAATATAAAAAACATATATCAAGGAAGACTTCAACTCAGACCACCTGTCAATTAGCAATTGTGAATAACAAAAACTTGGACAAAATCACCAAACTTAAGGGAAAAGCTTTGCTCTATTATATCGACAAATCCCCTAAGATCATACTGAAATTAAAAAACAATAAAGCCATGAAAAGAAATTACACCAGTTCTGAGAAGTTGGAAGTCCAAGCTTCTGTTCGGCATGAACACATAAATAAGCATCTTATCCTTTTCCGCGCAGAATCTCACCACCCTAACCAGACTCACATGCACTTCCATCCATCTCAATCAACTGAGATGAAAGTATAAGCAACATGCCAAATCCATTATGATTGCATAAGTTTTAATACGAAAGGAAGAACTACGTCGGATGGAAATATCATCGAGTCTGGTAGGCAGTATTGGTAATATCGTATAGAAATAGAAGATCCAAAAAGGCAAGCATCAATGGTTACCTGCATGGGAGAGCTCAAAGGTCCTAGTTACGGGCATTCCCCAACTGGAATGCAATAAAAGCAGTGAGTCTCATCTCCATGGTGTAAGAAGCTTCCACTCTAATCGTGTCCACCCCTTCGAATTTGATCTGAGTCAAAACCAGAGTGAAGCAATTCTCACGTAAGTTGCATTATACTTCGCTAGACCTCCAAATCTGTAGTTCCACTACCCTTGCTGGTACATCATAGTAGATCGCCTACAAATTGTAGAAGCAAACCTAATGGGTAAACCATAAATCCCTAGCTACAAACAAAACCAAAGCATATAACCTATAATGCTAGCGACCATTATAAGCAGAATGTGTTTCTATATTGCTAGCGACCATTATAAACTATACTTCTAGCAAAACAAAAGAAAAGTGGAAATCACCAACATGAATCAAAATGGGCTTGCTTCAAATCTGAATCGCCACTACCCAGCCAGGTTGACGTTGGCTTTTGCTTCCCTATCATGCTTGCTTCATCACCGACATCAAATGCAGATCGAATGGCAAGCAGAAACCAAGTCATATGTGTTTATAGACCCCATAAGTTGACACTTGCAGCCAAATGCATGACATGCTTAAAATCAAGTCATATGTGTTTCTTTTCCTACTGAGTTCAAGAGTAAATGGTGTGAGATGGAGGATGGAAGTTGACCTTTTGATTCTGCAAGAAGTGGAGGCAATATGAAATAGTGCTTCTGTTAGATGATGAACCCGTTCCGGTTAATTTTGTAGCTGCCACCAAGAGGAAATAATGGAACTGTTAGTACAGAAACCAAAATCCTCGACCATCATAAACTAATCAAACTCGAACTCTACGTTCGCCAATGAGCAAGGATAAATGAAATTCTAGATTTTCAAAACACCAAGCGTTTTATAAATCATCAACAAAATGTAACCTTAACTCCAAACAAATGAGTCTGTGGAAGACCTTCTAATTTGTGAATTACACTAAGGACAGGGTCCAACAAAATGTTGTACTTCTCCACTCTGCCCTTCTTTGCCCTCTAATTACCCAGAACAGCAACTCTTACTTGCGAACTTAGCATTAAGCGTTTGACCGGAAAAGTAGGCTGAAACCACACATCCAAATCGATACAAATACCCCCCCCCCCCTCCAATTTCATCAGAAACCAATACAGTCCAGACCCAGTTCTCCAAAACTTAAGGGATAATCACATACAATGATAATCACATACAATGATAATCACATACAACGGTAACAAAAGAAAGACCAATTATGAGTTTTAAGCTAATAAGAAAGAGGGGGAAAACCGATGGCTTGAGAATGATGGGGGCGCCCTCCACGGATGCGAGTAGCTGGAGCGATTTGGAGCCAAATTATGGACAGGCTGAAGTAGAGAAGAGAGAATAAGCAGGGTTCGTGACATCGGCAGTAGTTACCATGAAAACCCTCTCAGTGGTTTTGTTTCTTCTGTGCGTACGTCGACATCGTTAAACTTGTCCGGCATTTGTACACTGTCTGCTGCAGCAATCGACAGAGAAGATATCAGCGCTCTGGAGGTAATCTGGAACCTGCGGTGGAGGTGGGCTGGCTGCCGGAGATGAAAGTCGCACTCGTCAATAACCTCTCCGCCGCCGAGATCGTCTGCGGTACTCCCAATCGCGATCTCCCCACTCCCAAGGACTTCCGTCAGCGAGTGGGGTCGTCGACTTGCTTATAATTAGGGATTTCGATTTGTTTGAAATTGGGAATATGAGGAGATTTCTGATGCGAGTTATTGTGCTTCTCGCCGGAGGGGACATCCTCAATCAAATCTGTAAAACGGTTAAAGGGTAAGAAACCTCCTCTTCCATTCCTTCCGCATATCGATTCTGTAAAAGGGTAATCAGACTCCTTCCTTCTCCTCCCTTTCAACTTTCCCCCTCTCTCTCTGTAATATGCCTGCAATTGCTCTTCCCTTTCCGTGACTTTCTTCTCTCTCTTAATAACCAGTAGAAAAGGTGGGCTTATTTCACCCAAACAAAAAATAAATGAATATTATATGACAACGTGGGAAACGGAGAAAAGGTGGGTAGTGGACAGTTTGTTTTTGTTAGTTCTGCAATCAGGCGGGTACTCTTATTTTTTTTCCCGCTTAACACTCTGCCACATCAGCTTCCTAAAATCACTCTATGGGCAGGAAAATTTGAATGGGGGAACCGCCTTCTCCGGCGACCCCGACAGCCTCACCGACTTCATCGCCCCTCCAAACGCCACCGTCGACGGCTCGTTCTTCACCTTCACCGGCTTCGGCTTCCTGGTCAATGGGACCCAGCTCCCGGCCGACAAGTTCAAAGTCGTCAAGGCCACCATGGCCGAGTTCCCTGCCCTCAACTGCCAGAGCGTCTCCTACGCCACGCTCCTCTTCCCCAACGGCACCACCAACCCTCCCCACACCCACCCACGCGCCGCCGAGCTCCTCTTCCTCGTCGACGGCGAGCTCCAGGTCGGGTTCGTCGACACCGCCGGCAAGCTCTACGCTCAGACCCTCCAGGTCGGCGACATGTTCGTCTTCCCCAAAGGGCTCGTCCACTTCCAGTACAACGCCGGGACGAGCTACGCCATCGCGCTGTCGGCTTTCGGGAGTGCCAGCGCCGGCACGGTGTCGCTTCCCGGCACGCTGTTCGCCACCGGCATAGACGACGCCGTCCTGGCTAAGTCGTTCAAGACGGATGTTGGTGTCATTCAGAAGCTCAAGGCTGGCCTTGCCGTCAAGCCCTAATTAGTTGAAGGATTAATGATATATCTTAAAATAATTTATTACGTGGCGTATGCTGCAGCGATTTCCGCCATTTTTGTTTGCTTTGTTCTGATCCAATAATGAATGAATAAGCTACCCAATGAACGAAACGGTAGCGTTTCTTTCAATGGGCTATACCTTTTTTGTTATGGGCTTTTGGAACTTATTTTTGGGCTTCTGTTAATGCAATGGCCCTTTGCCTTTTAGACAACTTGACCCGGACCATAACATACATATCTGATTTTTTTTTTAAATATTCCGGAAGGAGCAAGATACGATAATATACAAGACCAAACCCGCTCTGATAGACTGATACCATATCATAAAACAGTTGTTCCCAACAACTCGAGTTATTGGGAGAAGTTCAATCGTGGATCATGTACCGTTTACTAACATTATCTTTCATAATATCTTAAAAAGGGGTCTTAGAGTCTCTGATTAAAGATGCATCGAAATTGCGATGTACGATGGGATTTAAGACCGACACCAATGATTGAGTTTGTATGTAAAGCTACTGTCACGAGGCATAAATTCAAGAAGATTTAAGACGACATTGGTCTCATACCAGTTTAGTTTAGCTCAATTGCATATGCTTTTAAATTCAATGCAAAACATGAAAATTAATAGAGTTAATTCCACTAAGAAGCTCAAACTATACTAAAAGGGTGATTTGTGTCCTAAACTATTCAATATGACGAATCTGACACAAATTATACGTGTTTCCTGATAATTAAGCTAGTCAATATGACAAATTTGGCACAAACCACATAGATGCTGAATAGATTTTTCTTAAATACTAACTGTCAATGCCAGTCAACATTAACGAAAAAATAGTTCAAGTCAGATTTGTTATATTGAATAGTTTATAACACAAATGACACTTTTTTAATAGTTTATACTTTCTAGTGAAATTAGGCCAAATTAATACTAGTTACTTGTTGGCAATGAATATCAAACTAAAAACATGCCAATTTCAACAATCGTTCCTTAACTAGTATTGTCCACCAAATATATAAACATATAATTGATCATGAAGATCAATGATATGAAGTAGGGGTGTTCAAATGCTTACCATGGTAATACCAAACCAATTAAGCCTAAATTTTATTAACTATCGAATAAATGTCCTAACCAAATCGTCCAAGTTAGCACGAAAACCAAATTAACCAAACCAAAGTTTAATTGGTTTGGTTAATCGAATAATCGGATAACCAAATAACATATTACATTACGTGAAAACAATTATTCTGTTAATGAATAAAACATAACCATATGTTGTTACTATCATAAACTATCATTATATATAAGCAATAATAATAAGACTATTCCATCCATGATTATCATTAGGAGTGGAAATCGGTACGGTGTCGGTATCCCAATACCAAATACCGAAATCCCAAATATCGAATTACTCCCTAAAATCAATCCCAATCCCAATCCCTAAATAATTTCGGTATCCCAATCCCAACCCCTAAATATTTCGGTATCCCAATCGGTACTTCGGTATCCCAATCGATATTATCGAATATGAAATTAATTACCTTTACAATTAATAATTAAATATATAAATTAGTTTTGATTGTTTAAAATAGGACAAAGAGACTAAGCAAAGAGTCTTGAGTTTGACTAGAGCTAGGATATGGATAAGAGAATGGAGGAGAAGTGAGATCTCAAGTTTTTGTTCTTGGTAATCTTTAATTTGAAGAATTGGAGGCTGAGAGAAGACTAATACTAGTGTTTGCTTTTTGGTGTTATCAAAATAACAAGAGATTGGTGGTTGAGGGTCGTGTAGTAGTGAATGAGAGGGTCTAGTTGAGAGGATAAAATACACACTGACTTATATTTCGGTATTGTTCGGTATTTCAGTAAAAAACCGATCCCAATCCCGTAATCCCTAATACCGAATAACAATTAAAATTGAATCCCAATCCCAAGAAATAATACGTGTATTAGGTAATACCAAATATAGACAAATTCGGTACGATATCCGGTATATTCCAAATACCGGTACCAAACTTCTAGCCCTAATTATCATCATCGTTCGAGTTAAACATCATTCATAATCTCTACAACTATTATAGTTAGCTTACAACTAACACCTTAACATAAATACATACCAATACCACTCATCAGGAAGTTAAAGCTCTCCTACAAAAGACTTAGACTATACATAGTTTGAGGTGGTTGTCATGGTATTGTACGTAATCCTAAAGTCTAGTAGCTGTCCAAAATGTTTTGGTTTAGTAAATAGGCAGACCCATTTAATTTTTGACCCATAATGTTTTGGTTTGTTGTGCACATGGAAATAAAATAGTGAATCACGAAAGTTTGGTTTGGCTGGTTGCATGGAAGTATAAATAATTTTGTATATTAGGTGTATCATTAATTTGTTTCATTGGTTAGCAGTGTCGAAACCAAACCAAACCACCTAAACCAAATAAACTAAATTATTTAACCAAACCAAACCAATTATCCAAATTAACCCAACCAAATTAACCGAATGCTACCGGTTAATATGGCTACCACGGTAACCAATCCGTTTGAACACCCCTATTATGAAGACAGTTAATTGAGAGGTATACAAGATTAAAGAGAATTGTTGAGCTTTCTAGGAAATGGTTGTGTTAAGAAAGCATCACGTGTTTTGATTTGTGTAAGTGTAACGATTTCTGAAATTTGCATTGTTGCTTCCTGTTACCACTGTTGAAAGAGCTTTTTTTTTTCCTGTGAACTACATGAAGAACACACATTAAAATTGGACAAGTGATGAATCATGAACACACATTAATAGTTTGTGTTGCTATTTTTATTTTATTTTATGTTAGGCCTGCCTAAACTAATTTTCTCATAGCTTGTTTGCTTTATTGATTTGATAAATGAAAATTTTGGTCAAATCTGGATTTTATAAAACTAAGGATTTATGATGGAATTGGTCAATTTGATTTTTGGATAAAACCATTGTTTGTTTGATAAATTTTTGTTAAATTGTATTTGTAATTATATTATGAATTTACCTATCTACCCTTACGTACCCTTATTTATTGTTTGAAACAAAACTATATATCATCCCAAGGTTCCATCCCCCTCTTCCTCGATGTCCCACTCCCTTCTCCCAACCAGCCTCGTCCCAGTCCTCTCTTCCTCTCGTACCCATAATCGATGGGGAAAGAATGATGATTAGAACCAGAAAAAGAGAAACCTAACAACAAGAATACAGAAAGAGAGGGGAGCATGATCAACCTACAAGTTTGTTACGTATCTATAATCAGCCGAGCTAAGAAAATGAGAAAGGACAAAGTGGGTATTAGCCAACAAAATGAGGATAAAATAGTAAATAAGCATATGGACTTGAGACATCCACACAGATCTCATCCTTTGCGGTGGAATTTCCAAGTTTATGGGCTCCATACATTTTTGCCCTACAAAATTGTGGGCCCCACGAATTTATTCCTGCTAAATCCATAAATAAATGATGGATTTCGTACAAAGTACATGATGATTGATTTTTATGTACCAAATCCATAATAAAATCCATTAAGCAAACGAGACCTCAATGTGCCACCGAATGGTACATACACACTATTCCATTTGAACAATGTTTTTACCCAAAATATCTACTTAAGTTAAAAATGAAATATACTTAGCTACCTAATAGTCACTAGCTTTAACCCGACCCGTTGGTCGGAGGACGGAAATTTCATTTGTAAGTTTGGAGCTCATGAAGATGGTGAGAGCGATATCTTATTACATGTAAAACTTAGAGAAATCAGCTGGTTTGACCAACTGATCGAGCACTGAGCCAAACTTCAACTCCGTACATCGTTTGTAAGGGAAGTGGTTCTTCCTCCCCAATTTCATAATTTCACGTTCTCAAACCCTAGACCCTCGCTAGAGATGGAGATCTTTTCGCGGAAAGCTACTCTGGCTGCTGTGACCAGCTCCTCTGACTGCCACTCATGGCATCATCATCGTCAATCGCCTCCACCTCGTGGATCTTGCCTCCCGCTCCCCGCACGAGTCGGGGATGGAAATGTACTTAGTGGTACCATAAATCCACCCTCATTTGTTTTGTCTCTCAAAGCTCAAATCATTATGTTGCAACCTATATCTTTAAAAGTGTTAAATGTGGGCCAACCAATTGGGTTGGTCCTAAAACCATTAACCCATAACTCATGTGCTTGATCGCATCAACGGTTTGATCTAGCCATTCGAGTTAACAACCTTGCTTAATATAGATTTATTTACCAACTAAACAACCATTAATATCGCTAAAAATGCATGCTTTTAATTTTATAGTTATATGGAAATTTATATTTATTACTGGGGAGAATCGCATTTCAGGAAATAAATGAAAATGGCAAGAATCCACCTAAATGCAATTGGAGTGCTATTACAACCGAGCAAGGTTGTCAAACCGGTTTATACCGTTGTGCTAGTTTGGCAACTAAAATGGTACGACTGGTGGTATAACCAGTTTGTGCCGGTTCATGCCGTTTTAAAAAAATGTGAAAATAATTAATATCCAATGTATTTAATCATATATAAAACATATTTGTGGACAATTTAGTTACAATCCAGCAAATATCATCAACTTTTAACTATTAAATTCATAAAATGAATAATAAATTAATTTTTTATTAATTAAATTCATTAATATGATGTCATTTTGCTTAGAATGCATAAGTCGATCATACCAGTGGTACCATGCCGGTTTCAAGACCGGCACATGTTGAACCAGATTTAACCGGATGGCATGCAAACGACATGACAATTGACAACCATGTAACCGAGACAAACCTTTAACTTATATACCCAATGAAGTAGTAATCTCATGAAGTTAAGGTCTAGATAAAAAACAAAATTGCCAATTGTATGTTGACGAAGATGAACCCTTAACTAAAATGTTTGCAGAGCCCTACATATACAGTTGGTTAATGCATAAATAAAGAAAGTTTATGGTATGAACTAAGACACCCAATCAC